GTGTTAAAGTTAATGAGATAATTAAGTGAATAATTGAGTGATGATTGAGCATTATTGAAGACACCTGATGTTAACAAGCAGAATCACTGAATGAGAAAAACAGAATTTTAAGTCACCATTATGGAGATTAGTGTTTGCTTTAGTTGGGCTCTTGACCCTTATTTCTTTAACTTTAGATTTTGTTTGGCTGCTGTACATGAGTTATAACAGCCAGATGAACAAATAGAAAAGGTGATCTGATGGTGATGTGTTTTAACACAATCATTTAACCCGAATCACTGAATTCATATAGAATCTAATTTCTGAGTGAGGTTTACTTTATTAATTATAGCAGCAGTGACCTTGTGCAGCATAATATTCTCAATATCTACAGAATATTCAAAATAATTTCTTAAAAGCTTTTCTTATATAATTTTTTACTTCTTTATAATGTTAAGACACAGAGACATCAATAATTAGCCTGTGAATCTCAACAATGGTAACAGTTATAAAGCATGTTGCATTCTTGGTGCCACCAATTAAAACTCATTCATGGCTCCCATCATGCATTGCTGCATGAATAAATAATGAGCTTATGTTCAGAGGTGATCTGTTTGCCACCATTGCTGAGATTAGTGTGTTAATTCTTGATGTCTGTGTATGCCTTTATAAAATATTTTTGGGATATTTTTTAATTTTTTTTAAATAATTTTTCATTGAAAAGGTTAAAAATGTTATGTCCTAAAATGACCATGCTGCAAAAATCCTTAAGGTAATTTTAACTTAGAATTGATGCTCTTGACAAGTTCAGCAATTCAGGTCAATTGATGATTGTGTTGAAACACAACCAACACCATCAGATAGCCTTTTTTCATCTGGCTGTTATAAGTCACAGACAACAGCCAGACAAAATCTAAAGTTAAAGAATTAAGGGTCAAGAGCCCAACTAAACCAAACACTAATCTCCATAATGGTGACTTAAAATGTCTGTTTTTCTCCTTCAGTGATTCTGCTTGTTAACATCAGGTGTCTTCAATGATGCTCAATCATCATTCAATTATTCACTTAATTATCTCATTAACTTTAACACTGATTCAGTGTTCATTTAACACTCTGCTCAGAGTTTATATAATTCTCACTTCTCGGTGTTAATTTAATACTCTCAGTGTTAATTTAACACTGGGGATTTTGCTGTGATGTGAGCTAACAATAACTGAAATGTTTTATTCTTTTGCTAAATACTTACTTGTGTTTTCTGACGACGAGTTAGATGAACGAGGCAAACTTGAGCACTGTAGGGGGCGTGAAAGCGACGAGGCGAAAGCGCCGAAAATGTGTAACGATCGATTGGTTACCAAGCCAGTGGGTGTTTCCATACCCGGAGCAGCAAAGGACTAAAACTCAGGGCAAATTATGAACCTTTTTTAATTTATTAATTTATTTGTATTAATGATTGGTTAATACTTTTACTATTCCGAACACAATCACAAAAAAGAAACAAAAACGCGTGTATTTGTGAGCAAAAAAAGTCTAAATCAGAGAGCAGAACAAATAGAGCAGAACAAATAAAGCAGACAGACATAACTACTATAACTAGCATAAATGATTCACATTGAATTATTGAAAAGTCTTTAAACATTTTGTTTCACGGAAATTGATCATTCAGAATTAAACTGTAAAAAATAATCCCCCGACTATTACTGAGCAAGCGTGTAATATTATATGTAGTAACAACCGCCCCCATTAGAGAAAATGTTTTTGTGCAAAATAAAAAAATAATAATAATAATAATAATTATGCAGTTCGGCAGCTGCACGAGATGAAATCGTGAATCTTCGTACGTTTGAAGGGGCGGGACGATGACGTTGCCTATAATACATTTCTGCGTACAATGCACACGCATTTTCAATCAACACAGCAAAATCCCCAGTGTTAATTCAACACTGCTCAGAGTGTATTTGGTCCCACTCTACAGAGTGTTAAAGTAACACTGAAGCAGTGTTAAAGTTAATGAGATAATTAAGTGACTGATTGGGTGATGATTGAGTATTAGTGATAAACACCTGCCCTGCTGTTAACGAGCAGAATCACTGAAGGAAAGAGAAACACAAAAACTACAACTGACCTCCAGTCACAGCCTTAGGTTAAATCAATTGAAGATACAAAGAAGACATTAAATCTGTGAAGTTCTCAGCAGAGGAGGATTAAACGACTCCACAAACAGCATTACCAGCTTCACTTATTACTAACCAGAATGACTTTATTTCTGTCAGACTTCTACAGAAGATTTTATTGAGAATTAACAGAGGTTTAGATGTTGATGGTTTAGTCACCATTTAAAAAAATCACCATTATGGTGAACAGTGTTTCCTTTATTTGGGCAATTTGACTCTTGCCTTCTCAAGTGATTTTATGGTCTTTGTAACAGTGTTAAACAAAACACATAATTTGTTGCAAAGAAAGCCAAAATCAAAGATGGCCTAGAGATAATGTAATAATTTACAACATAATAAAGGACAAAAAAGCTGCAAAATGTTATAAATAGTTCTAATTCTTTACAACATTTATTTTTGTACATGTTAGACATCAAGCTGATTTTTATTTTATTTTTTAATGGAAAAATAATCTTTGGACAAACACACAGACATCAATAATCCACATATGAATCTCATCAATGGTGAAATGCTTTATGCCGCAATGCATTCTGGGAGGCACCATAGTTTAAAACTCTTCACTAGGGCTGGGCGATATATCGCACGATATTGTTATGCGCATCTAATCAGTAAAGCCGTTTCCTTGATTAGTAGTAAATCACCTTCACATGCTTTCAAATTGACGATATGAGTGTTAAATTAAACTGTTATTTAGATAATTAAGTGATTAATTTAGTGATGATTGAGCATTATTGAAGAGACCTGATGATCACAAGCAGAATCGCTGAAGGAGAAAATCACAAATTGTAAGCCACCGTTATGGAGATCAGTGTCTGCTTTAGTTGGGCTCTTGACACTTATATTTTCACTTTAAGTTTTGTTTGCCTGTCGATATTGATTTATAACAGTCATATGTACAAAGGCAACTGTGATCTGATAGTGTTGGTTATGTTTTGACATAATCATGCAATGATATGAAAAATTCAACTTATTCAGATGATTTGGTTAACTTGTTAGCTACAGTTTTGTAGTTCTGCAGCATATCTGTATTTTACTTATAACCTAAAATATTTAATAAAAAATATTCTGATCAAATCACTTTCATCTTTATTCAGTAACACAGAGATCAATAATCAGCCTGTCTATCTCAACCGTGGTGACATGTTGCCACCAATCACAACTCATTATTTTCCCACTTGAATATTCTACTCGTCACCGTTGTTGAGAAGCATTGACTGAATCTTGAGGTCTGTGTGTGCCTAAAAGAAAGATTTTTTTTAAACAACTTTTGAGAAATCCATTATATTATATTTAACATTCTGGATGTTTATGCGGAATGTCAGTTATGCAGTAACCAACAGAATAAATTTTAAATTATGAAAGTCTTTATATAACCAACATCATTTTATAATTGTTTATTTTTGTTCATCTGACAGGTTTAACTCAGATGCAACAGCAAATTAAAATATAAAAATTTTAATATAAGGGTCAAGAGCCCAACTAAAGTAAACACTCATCTCCATAACGGTGGCTTACAATTTTAGATTTTTTTTCCTTGTGATTCTGCTTTAGGTGTCTTCAATAATGCTCAATCATCACTCATTTAATCACTTAATTATCTAATTAACTTTAAGACTCTTGAGTGTGGACTCATGTACACTCCCAGGTGTGTTAGTTTAACACGGGAGATTTTGTCGTGACGACGAGCCGTAGTTAACTGACCAGCTGAGCCATATCGCATTAAATAGCGATACATCCTCGATATTAACGCGATTTGGCTCAGCTTGTCAGTGATCTACTATACGGCTCTTTGTAGTAAATGCCGCTCCATCTGAAAGCAGGTGAAGGTGATTTACTACTAATCAAGGAACCGGCTTTACTGATTAGATGCGCATACAATATCGTGCGATATATATTGCCCAGCCCTACTCTTCACCATTGTTGAGTCACCTGTCACCATTGTTGAGATTGATATGCTGATTCATGATGTCTGTTTGTTTAAAAAAAAAGAAGTTTAATGATTTTCTGTCAAACTCTCTGCAGTGCATATAAAAAATCAGAATGTTGATGTTCAGTAAGCTGTCAAAAAAGGTGAAATTTATTTGTTAAAAAAAATTACAACCTTTGGTCAGGGATAATATTAGAGAACCATTATTTTTTATTTACTGTTTTATAATGAAAACTATTATTGCTGAACACCTTTGTTTATTGTTTGCTATGTAACAAACAATATGTTTTGGTAAACATTGTTACAAAGACCAAAATTGTGCTTAAAATACTGAGAGTCAAACTGCCCAACTAAAGGAAACACTGATCACAATAATGGTGACCAAATATTTTAAAACATCAACATCTAAACCTCCGTTCATAGACATCTGACAGAAATAAAGTCATTCTGGTTAGTAATAAGTGAAGCTGGTAATGCTGTTTGTGGAGTCGTTTAATCCTCCTCTGCTGAGAACTTCACAGATTTAATGTCTTCTTTGTATCTTCAATTGATTTAACCTAAGGCTGTGACTGGAGGTCAGTTGTAGTTTTTGTGTTTCTCTTTCCTTCAGTGATTCTGCTCGTTAACAGCAGGGCAGGTGTTTATCACTAATACTCAATCATCACCCAATTAGTCACTTAATTATCTCATTAACTTTAACACTGCTTCAGTGTTACTTTAACACTCTGTAGAGTGGGACCAAATACACTCTGAGCAGTGTTGAATTAACACTGGGGATTTTGCTGTGTGGCTAATTGCTCTGAATATTGACCCTAACACACCAAAAGAGAGTATCAAGGGACATTATGTTTGCTCTGTACATTTTAATGACGACGACTATATTGAGAAAATGCAATTTGCCACAAGAACCATGAAACGTGTGCTGAAGGACATGGCCGTCCCATCAAAATCACTTACAGGACAAAGTGCTGCGGTAAGTAGCCGTTCCGTTATATTTTAGATGTTTTGCCTAAAGTTACTGTAACAGTGCCATTAGCTAACTTAGAACTATTGTAATGCTAGTGACACTACTATATGATTAGGGTGCAAACTACTATACTGCAGTTGTTTACGCGCTCCATATTCCCTGTAATGTTGTTTAGAACGCGCTCTGTCGCCCAGGTAAAACTAGAACGGAGCTAGAGGTAAACACATGTAGTTAGTAGCATACACCTTGCTAATGAATCTTATCGGGGAGGGATTTTTTTTTCTATTTTTTATTTTCTTTTAGAAATAGTCATATTGTCTAGCACGGCTAGGCTACTGTCTGTGGGTTCATTGTGCAAAAACAATTTGCCTTGTGCTATTACTTTTCCCTTATTCTAGCCTATTGTGAATATTGAGTCATTGCCTATTGAGCCTATTGTGAATATATTGTCATATTCTAGCCTATCTGCCATTACTGTATTAGACACTGTTGAATACATTTGGTTACGCTGTAATAAATTTCATTTTAGATGTATATTGATTCCTGTAATAATAATTTATTATTTTGTGTTCTGTGATATATATTAATTAGGATGAGCTGAGTAACCTGCAGCTGGATCAACTGGAATTTGAGGATGTTTCCAGCCTGTTTGCAGGTGTACCACACTCCACACCCAGAAAAACCTGTACTGTACCTACTGCAGAGTTCAAAGCCCCACTACCTTTGCAGCTCAAAAGTCCTGCTCAGACAGCTACAGGGACAAAGGCATTGATTGCCTTGGCACCCAGTTGGACACGTCAATTGGTAGGATAATTAATAATTTATCATTGAATGGTGTTATACGTTCTGTGTGATAAATGTAACAAATTCTATATTTACTTTATAGGACACTGCTTCATCGTCCATAATGATGCCTACCTGCAGGCAAAAAAAAAGTCTTATCTTTGATGTAAGTAGCAAGCCAGGTTCTCTATTCATGATAGCTAAAAAATATTATTGAAAAAAAAAATCAATTTAGATGCATTTTGATAATTCAGCTGACACTTATCTTGATCACAATGAAATGCCAAAGATAACAGTCAAATAATTGAATATTGAAAATCAATTTTCAAATGAAAACCAACACGTTCCAAACCCAGATGTATGCTTCTAAAGGTGCCAAGAGAAAATAAAATTTTACATGTTGTTTTGTCGTCAACAGGAAACACAACAAATTGATTATTCTGAAATGGATATCAGTTCAGCAACATCAGCCTTGGATATCAGCATGGCCTCAGAACCTGCCTCTGAACCAGCCGTGGATCCTGCTGACTCCAGTTTTGTCCCTGACACAAGCCCCTCCACCTCTACCACAGGAAGCACTGAAAGCATTCCTGGACAACATAGAGGATGGAAAGAGAGAAAGTGGCTGGTAAATGAGTCTAAACTCATGGAACTCTTTAAAAAATGCACTGTTTGTGGATCTGAAATGTGTGATTTGAACCAAATTGTGAAAAAATCTGGCACAAGGATCAGAGTAATATGGAAATGTAACAGTGGACACACCGGAGATTGGGAATCATGCCCAAGTGTTCGTGGAATGGCGGAGAACAACCTGCTATCAGCAGCAGCAACACTCTTCACCGGTGCTACCTACACAGACATTGCTGAGTGGGCAGAGCTTTTGAACATTCAGCTGCCCCATAAATCTACCTACTACAGTATACAGTCCAGCTACCTGATTCCAGTTATTGCTGAAAAATACAAGAAGCAGGAGGACACTATAAGAGCAAGACTCATCTGCCAGACCCTGGATGGTGAGGGAGTACAGATCTGTGGAGATGGGAGAAGTGATAGCCCAGGCCATTCCTGCAAATACACAACGTATTCCTTCATGGATGACTCCACCAATCAAATTGTAACATTTGACTTGATTCAGGTAATTTTTTTTAATGATAAATAGAATAATATATACGAAAACTCAGTCACTGTTCTCAAACGTCTTATACTTTTTCCCTCTAGGTGACCCAGGCCAAAAGTTCTGTTGCCATGGAGCCAATCGGTTTCAAGAAAGGATTAGAAAAGCTCCTAGATGAAGGAATCAATGTAAAAGTTGTCACAACTGACCGACATCCCTCTATCAGGAAAATAATGAGGGAGGATTTTCCAAATATAGAACACCAATTTGATCCATGGCATACTGGAAAAGGTTAGTCTATTTTTGTTATTGTAAGCTTGTTCACAACTCCTGATACTTCGGCTGTGCTGTCTGGGTTTACTCTCTGTGTATCTCTGTGTTTTCTGAAGTGTACTATTATTATAAAGCTTTTCCTTATTTTAATTCAGGAATTAAAAGAAAATTGGTTTTGGCATCCAATCGCAAGAACTGTATGGCCCTTGCTCCTTGGATAAAGAGTGTGATCAATCACATGTGGTGGAGCTGTAGCTCATCTAAAGGAGATTCAAAGGTGCACAATCATACATTTTATACACACAGACATATTGCAAAGGCAAAGTCTAATTTATTTCTCATATGCATATTTATACCGGTTATAGTGCACAGTGTATTTTGACTACTGGCGTGCATACATCACCTTTGGACATAGAAGTTATTAATTAGGTTCTATTTTGGTTCAAATTATTTTTTCCGTCTGTATTTTTACAGGAATTGTTGAGACGATGGAAGTCAATTCTCCATCATATCTGCGGGGTCCATCGCTGGGAAGAAGATGGCAAGGAACATACATGCTACCACACTGAACTGCCAGCGAACGAGCAAAGGAGGAAGAAATGGTTGGCCGAAGACTCCCCTGCCTACAATGCCCTTTATGAAGTGGTGATGAATGCACGCCTCCTGAAAGACCTGGAACAAATGGCACTGTTCAAACACACCGGTATGTTTATCAAAGATTTCACAGCTATTGGATTGCCTCCATAGATTTTAGTTTCTGTGGGAACCTTTTATGTGAAACATTTTTACATTATTTTAGAAAGTAATATTGCACCTCAGACGATAATGAAAATAAAATAACTCCCAATATTCAACAGATCATTCATACTACTTGTAAGCATTGTTCCATGTATAGTTTATAAAGTGTTTTGTATTTTGTACTGTCTTTATTTCTCTTTCACTAGGACAACTTGAAGTCTACCATAATGTTCTTCTAAAATACTGTCCCAAAAGATTGCACTTTGAATATGCATCAATGCAAGCACGAACAATGTTGGCAGTCATGGACCATAACGAGAACCACGAAACACAACGTGAACAAGCAAAAACAGCGTCTGGTTAGTTCTAAACATATATCATATTATAAATAAAACAATATATCCTCCAGATATTTCAAATTTTGCAGCCATACACATGTCAGTATTGATTTGTACGTAATGTTTCACCTAAAAATATAATAGAACATATTTATAATTTACAAATCAACACTTTTGCTGTTATAACTGGCAAATATTATAACATTTTTTAATTTTTATTTAGTTATTATTTAACCTTCTGAACACACTCCTAACAGACCAAACTCCTCAATCATGTTGATTTTCATTTCAGGACTCCAAAGACACAATGTGATATTCCAAAAACAATCCAAACAATGGATTGCCCGACCAGTCTACCAGGAAACTACACAGACTTTCAGGAATGAATTGATGGACGCAGTCATTCAGAGAAGGCTGGATCCAACGGTGAAATACCAAGACCCCTTATCGCATGTCAAAGTTCCACGTTTGGCTGCTAACATCGCCACAGTTTCAAAACCCAGGAAGGAGGATGTCATTGCCGGACACACATCAAGATTCACAGGTTCAGACTCATAATGGTATCTGAGATGGTTATAAATAAATAAAGGGACACCCACCCCACCCACCTATCATTCTTTAGTCCTGCTTTTCACTATGTCACCACTGCCACCCAAAGTGCCTTTTTGTTATTCTTGTATATAGTTTTTGGTTATTGTGGTACAGCAATTGTAAAATAAATAAGAATATTTCTCATTATTTCTCGTTCTCATTTCTGCCTTGTGTAGGCCAACTAGTCTTCTTATACTGACACATGTAGAAAAAAAAGAAATGAGAAATGTAGAAGTTAGAATAATTTATTTGAAGTATAAAATCTAAAACAATAAATAAAAAGAAAACAATGGTTTCACATATTTTCAAAATGAAATAAAACTCTGCTGTCTTAGGAGGTCAAAGGATGGAACATCTGTGGAAAGAGAACAAAATGTTAGGCCTTGTACTTCATAGACCAGTGCCAAAGTATCAGACAAGATGACTAGAATATGCAAAGTGTATTACAGACTAATGTAGTCAGGGACAAAACAATAATATATTTCCTTGACTACAATTATACTGACATTTCTAGGTTGCTCTTTTATATTTAATGTTGTTATCTTTACTCACAGTAACTTTGTTCAGTTTTATACAACATATACAGTAATGCCAACAAAAACAAAATATGTAATTTTTATTCCTGTAATACTTATATACATCATACGTTTATGGTTTGTGTATGATAAAGACATGTAGTATAGGCTAATTACTTTATATATGATTGGTGTTGACACATGCATACTTAGAACATTTCAATTGCATCCTCAGCCTCTTGAAATCCCACATAGACACCAGTCTCTGAAGGATATTTTCTTCGAATGGCACCAACCACACATGATGGCAATTGTTTACGATTGCTTCTACCCAAAGTTTCTCCCTTCAGGGCCCACTCCAACACTATGCGGTAGGACACCAACCTGTATTGACTTAGAGCACAGAAAAAATTGTATGAATAACTAGTAAATCAAGTGTACGGGTTATCAAGACAGACTATTTCAAGGGTGGCAACAGTCAGTTGGCATGTGTGTATATTTTGTTTTTGCGCGTGTATACTACAATTGCATTATACTAATGTTACCTGTATGCATTATGATCATTCAAAATGCACTTACTTGGAGGACAGCTGTCCATTCGGTTCACTCGGCATGGGACGTTTCCTCCAGTTTATCTTGTCACAACGGGAAAAAAAATCGACAACCGCAGGGTGTATCAGGGCAGAGAATTCCTCCGTGATAGTGACGCAAATATCTTCATTGTCATCACGACTTGCCATTGATGGCAATACCCGCTCCCATTCATTACAACAAATGCACTCGCTTTCTGTGGGCATAGGTTGACATGTTCCACATTTACACCACCAGTCCGTGTTAGTTCGGATTCTCCCCTCGACCTCCTCAGTCTGTTCGGCATCTTGGCTATCAGCCTCAAAACTTTGTAATTCCTCGTCTGTGTATTCTGGCTCAAACCGATATGGTTCAGGATCTTGGTTTGAGACAAAGTAAAAATCATCTGACATTTCGTCAAAATCAGCCATGATCACCATTCACGTCAGCTACTAGCTAGTTAGTCACGTTTGTTTTGTTGACAGAAGAAACAACGGCGCGTCTCAGGTGCTGCGGTTCTCACTCCGCCCAAATAGTAGTGCTTCGCCTTCAGAGAATAGTTCCCAGTATTTATACGATTAAAATATGTCTGTATCTCATATAATTTTTTTTTTTGGACACTATACGACTATACAAATCGCAACCTGTAAATAGGACAATGTTTGCGTTATTTTTTCACTTATTTGGATTAGAAGGCTAAGTGCAACCAAGTACATCCAGTCTTTGTGCTAAGCTAGGCTCGCGGTGGGTGCGTCAAACAGACTTATAGCACGCACGGAGATGAAAAAGGTAAGTATGGACTTATCTAACACTGGGGTATAAGGTGAATAGGCTAAAGTCCCAAAAAGTCGGAGTGTTCCTTTAACTGAGACTTGAGTGTCTGTAGATGTTTAAAGGAGAACTCCGGCGCAAAATAAACCTTTGGTCTGATTACACATTGTTACCTAGTCAACCGTTATCCGAGATTTGTTTTCATGATTGCAGAATGTAAATAGTTTTATCTATAAAAACAGTTTAGCCTATAACACTAGTATAATGCTAGTAGGGCATAGAGTAATGACAAATAAAAATCGCTTGTTATTACCACTAACAAGGCTCAAAATAGCCCCAGTAACACGGTAGCATAATAAGGGTCTCTACATTCAAACCGAAGCATTGAGAATATATTTTATAAGATATTTTATACACACAATCAACTTCGCAAATACAGGAAGAAGCCATATTTGAAAAATAGTCTCTACCAG